TTTATATACGGGTAGATTATCTTAAAATAAAAAGGATGTATGATGAAGCTGTAAAAAAAATTAAAAAAAAAGACACTATAAAAAATATATATTATGATTTATTCCTATATATCTAATAAAGGAGATTTATGTCTCTGTTATTTATATCGAATTACTTTTTAGTTCCTTTTTTGGATAGGAAATAAGAATCATATAATATTAAGAATTCTTATAGGAAATAAGAATTGATATACATCCAAACAAAAAAGTAGCAAACCACGTAGGAAACTACTTGCCGTCTCATTAAGCCACGTAGGAAAGAGAAAACGCAAAGGGATAAGTATGAAGATACGACTTTATTATATATATATATATATATATGATACATTAATATAGTTGGATTTGAATTTTATCCCACCAACCATGTTGGGTTTGAGTTAACGGTTGGATTTGGATTTTATATCCAAACCCAACAAACAAATATTTAATATGATGTATTGGTCGACATGAAATATATAAAATATTTAATTAAAAGTATGAAATTCAATAGTTTAATCGGTCATTGAGAATTTGAAAATCGAATTTCAATATGTATTTCCAAACTATTTTGCCAAATTTTACAATTGGATCTTACTCGATTTTCCTGAAGTCCGTTTTACCGATATCCGATTTTCGATCTAAATTGAATCAGCCGGTTATTTGATTTTTCCTGAAGTGCGAAGATTTGAATATTGCCGCTTGGGCTCTGAATAAACCTTCGTAATGCTTCCTTATGGTATGGTTGGATGAATACATCTACTATTAATTAGCACGATTCCTAGATTAAAAAGCGATAATGTTCAAAAGACACGTACGCTAACATTTTCCAATGATTTCAAGTACCCTAACCTAGGCAGGGCAGCGCGATTGAGTTGCCTTCAGGTAATTGTAAATAGTTCTACTTTTACGGTCAAAAGTTTCCTCAACTGGTATGCTATGTTTACAAAGCAAAATCTATTCCCATAAGCTACAAATAGAATTTAAAGAATAGAGAATTGAAGCAACAAGAAGAATCAACAAATCCATTTGCTCGCAAGCTTATAGCTTGGAGCAAGAGGATATGCAACAGGCTACGAGCTTTGTTCCGCATCTTCCATAATCCCCGAGAAATTAAACATCAACTTGGGCAAGAATGACCATACAAGCATGCTGACATTGAAATTTCATTTTCTTGCCAGCTAACCAAAAAAGAAAAATGCAAAGTCTCAGTTTAATGCCTCTTCCAAATCCTCATGTACTGTGGATAATCTGTTTTCTTCAACAAAAGATGGATTCAAAAACTTAGCCAAAAATGCCCACACTCTGTAGACATCTTCAAAGTTGGTCAAGAAACCGAGTGACACCGTAACAGCCTCAATCCGAAGGAGAGCATTTTCGTTGCGGCAATGGCTGTTGGACATTGGCTTACAAAAGGCTGCATCTTCAATCCATAATGCCCCATTGTGTTGCTTTGCACCGTTCGCTAAGCGTATGTGGCTAAGGATACCAACGCCAAGAGATATCCCGTGTCTGTCGGCCAATTTTTGAACAACTTCAGGATGAATAATCCCTCCTTTGCTGCTTGGGAGAATTCTTACTTTATGGCGAAAAAAAAGGTATTCTACAAGTAGGGTGGTTTTTGGGTATTGTTTTTGAAATAGGGTCTTCGCATTCGCGGAATGCGAGCTCAGTGAGCCAGTGACCACAAAAGTTTCCCTCAGTCAAAAAGTTTCCCTCAGTCAAAACAATTGCAGAACGCAATTCTTAGAGAAGTTCATAGCAAAACAAAGAAAACGGAGCCGGCCAGCAAACTCCCGCCATAGCTGCCTTGCAATTGAAAAAAACTGAGTTGGGTTCTGCACATCGAAGCATCCAAAGAGCTGGCCACCATGTGTCCTATTTTGTGCTGCTATTAACGCCGGACGGCAGAAATAGGAGGAACGGCGCCACCATCTCTGTTGTTCTGCTCCGCCGCAAGCCACGCAAATCTGAAGTTTCTGCCTCGCTGAAGCAAGCCATCCAGATTGCAGCCGGTTTTCGGAGCTTCTGCACCGACAGATTGCCGACCCATTTGCGACTTTGCCCACCCACTGCCGCCCCATTGCCATACCCAACATTTGCCAGCATTGCCGTCCCACTTCAAGTGCCAAACAGCATAAAGGTGAGCTCTTTCCATTTGCAATGCCTCACATTTTAAGTTTAATTAATACTTGAATACTTGAATCCAAAGGCAAGTTCAGATTTGTTGTGAAATTTGGGTTTAAATTTGACGTGGGTTGTGCTTATTTTTGTAATTTTTGTGGTGGATTTGAGGATATACGTTACATTGTTCGAATTGTTGCAACGACACTGAAGAAAACGCGCTAAGAAACGCGACATCAAGTCGCGTTTCTCACCTAAATCGCGTTTTAAAGCCTGGATCATATACCAAAAAATGCGACTTCAAATACGTGACTAGGAGTCGCGTTTTCATTCCCGCAAGATTTGTGCACAAAACGCGACTTATGTAATGCGAGTCGAGGCGCGTTTTCAGTCGCGTTTTCTGTGTCCAGATATAGATGGGTAAATCGTACATTAGAGTTGTGTTCTTAGAGAAGATTTTAGAAAAATAGTGGAGATTAAACTAAAATGGAAAAATAAATTTTGCTAAAATTACAATATATGTTAGCGTGACCCAAAATTTGATGCGCGTTTTTTGAAGTTGTGTTGGATGCATTTCCATTGCTTTAACAGTCTTAGCATGCCATTTAATTATTTTTTATATACATTTAGATACTATTGTCGTACTTTAACAAGTGTATATAAATATATTTGACACATACTTATTTTTGACTAATGTAGTTATCAAAGCCATTTACAATAATTAGTACTTTAATACGCCCTGTATAATTTGAAATGATAATAATTACAATAATTAGTACTTTAATATGTCTTGTGTAATTTAAAATGATAATAATTAATCATCTCTGACTATTTTAATGTACAAAATAATTGTCTAGAATGCTAAGCACATAGTAGACAAAGTCTCTAATACTCAATGTGGGGGCAAGGGTTATGTACCAAATTTGGGTGCCAAGTGCCCACTTTTCAGTTTTTGTTTTTAAAATCTATTTCGCAGCTGTTATTTTTGGTCGAATCACTATCTACATTGGACATTATATGTTTTGCAATTGGAGTTTAGGAATTTTATTGATAGTATGTAGTTTATAGATTGGAGCTTTTCAATTTCATGGATATTTGGATGACGGACAGGGAGTTTTAGCCCATTTATAGGGGAGACTCTGTCGAAATTTTTGTAAATATTTCTTTGTGAGGGCAACTGACTATTACAAATACATGTTGCAACTTCGATATTTGTAAGTGATTTTTGGTTGTAAATTATGTCTTCATCTAGGTACAACAAGGTTGGGATACAAGCTTGGGAGGTTGTGTTTGGTACCTCTAGAATCCAACCCACAGAACCGGAGTTGGATACATTCGGATTTGATACAAGTCATTAGGAAATTTATTTTCTGGATTGGTTGGTAGGGAGATTTAGTCTAGTTTTAGAGGAGACTCTGTCCAAATTTTTTAAAAATTTCTTTGGGAGTTTTAGGCTATTCCTACCTGTTTTCAATTTTTCCAAAAACATCTGGATCGAAATTAGTGTATTTAATAGTGCCAATTTCGACCTAGAGTCCGCCCTCTTTCATTTGTTTGGACTCTTGGACTACTAATTCTAATTTATTGTCCCCAAAATGGGGATTCATTTCACAGAGATGTCTGTAGACAGACCTCTCCGGGTAAACCTATACTGGGGAGGAGAAATACATTACGATGGTGACTTTGTTTGTTATTTATCTCGTACTTCCAACCGGACATTCACTTTGAGGCATAGAATTGGATTCGGGGAATTGAAAGACAGGATTTATCACTATATGGGGGTCGATAAAGGGATGTTCAAGCTGAAATTGTTTCTTCGTCAACCGTTGGAGAGTTCCAAATATACTGTTCCAGCAGTGGTGGATGATGAAACTCTTGATGTAATGTACGATCTTTGGATCGAAAGAGTTTCATACATGGCGGAAATTTATATCGAGAAGGAAGGAATCGTTCAAATGCCTGTAGTTAATAGCGTATTCAGTGGACCAATAGGTAATGTTGGTCCAATGATGTCGCTTGTACATGCATTCATGGATCCAACAAAGTTTAATTTCGGTTCTAGTTCAGTCATTCCAGAGACTTCATCGGCATCTCATTATATGCATGATGATCGATCTATGGATTTATTAGAACCAAGGCTCACATTAGGGTCCATGGGTTCCCAGGAATATTTTCATGGCCTGGATTCGATTCCAAGTTTTGGAGATCCAGGGCTATCATGCCATATTTCTCCACATGGGATCGAGATTAACCCTGGTCAAGGTTGTCGCAGTTCAGCTGAAGATGATCCGGAAGTTGATGCAGAAGAAGTTCAAGAGTCGGAGTCGGAAGATGTGTCTGGTAGTGACTCGGATGATGAGCACGAAGGTGGCGGTTTAAGAGTAAACCTCGATACCCAACAACCCTTTTTTCGGTATCGAGTTGCCAACACAGAATGCGGAGATATCAGACGTAATAGCACAGCTGGCAACTCTAGTTATGTTCCAAGAGGAATGACATTTTTCTCCGATCTTGGGAACATAGATGATGCTGATATAGAAGAGGAGGATGGATTGGAGCGTATTGTTACATTCAGCGAGGAGAATAATAATATACGTCTGCATATGAGGTTTGAGAGTAAGGAGCAGCTCAGCCGGGCAGTTAGGATGTGGTCCATCAATCACCATAGGGAGTTCAGAGTTATTGAGAGTAAGAATAACACATGATTTGCTAAATGCAAATCATCATTTTCTCGAACTCCTTCCACTTCAACCGTGTCGTCGTATCCACCATGCGACTGGTGTGTTAGAGCCGTAAAGAAAAGGACTCATGGAATGTGGCAAATTACAAAATGGGTCAATGACCATAACTGTTTAGGCGACATGATTAGAAATAATACTACAAGCCTGACGTCTTCCGTTATTTCAAGGCACATACTCCGTACCATTGAAGATGATCATGGATTAAAAGTCAAGAACATACTAAGTTTCGTTAAAGAGAACTTGAAGGTTGATGTGTCTTACAAAAAAGTCTGGTATGCCAGACGTAAAACAATTGAGCTTGTGTTTGGATCTTGGGAACAGAATTTTGCCGAACTACCACAATATCTCGATGCCATGTCTCAATCCAATCCAGGCACCGTGGTGGAGTGGTCGCATCATTCGGATAGTTCGGATCGAGTTAAGACTTTTAAGTATGTATTCTGGGCCTTTGGACCGGCTATTGAAACATTCCACATGTGCAGGCCGGTTATATGTGTTGATGGCACTCATTTGCGTGGCGAATACAAAGGCAAACTCCTTGTTGCAGTCACGCAAGATGCGAACAACAAGGTTCTGCCACTTGCTTATGCCATAGTTGATGAGGAGACGATTTTCAGTTGGTCGTGGTTCATGGAACAATTAAGACATAATGTGGCACTTGATCGACATCTTATCTGTGTCATTTTCGATCGCCACAATGGTATCATTTATACCATGACACACTTTGACTATTGGGTCGAACCTTTGGCCTACCATAGGTTTTACCTGCGACATGTTAGGAGTAATTTGATGACACACTTCAAAGGTTTACACCTTAGAAAGTTGTGTTGGGTAATGGGAAGGGCAAGACAATTGCGCAAGTGGCGGACGTTCAGAAGAGAGTTACGAAGCATGTTTCCAGATGCTTGGAATTATCTGTCTGCCATTAGTCCAGAAAAGTGGTGCCTAACACACGACGATGGCCACCGTTGGGGTATTCTAACTACCAACATATCCGAAAGTTATAATAATGTCTTGCGCGGGGCACGCCATTTGCCAATTCGTGCATGCATTGACATGACATTCCATCGGACGGTTGCGTTATTCCAGAATCGAAGGGAAGATGCCTCACACTGTCGCAATCCTTTTCCCTCAAAAATATGGCGTCGTTTTAGGAATGCTGAGAAGAAGATAGGCGCCCAGAGAGTCATTGAGTTCGATGGTCCATCGGGCGTATACAAGGTTATCACAGGGCGGCGTGTCGATGGTAAAGGAGGCAATACGCAAACCGTCAGGTTTTTTGATAAGGCATGCTCTTGTGGTAAGTGGCAGCATTACAGGCTTCCTTGTTCACACGCTTTGGCGGTGTGCAGGAATAGAGGTGACAATCCGGGGTTGCTTGTGGATCCGCAATTTACCACCACGAGGTGGGCTGTGCAGTATTCAGGGAAGTTTAATCCACTGCCGCATCAAGATACTTGGCTCCATCCTGGATGGGAGTTGCAGGGAGACAGAAGCAAGTTTGTTGCACGTCGGGCAGGGCGGGTTCGAGCTAGCAGAATTCGGAATGAGATGGATGAGAGGGATCCAGACGAACCAAGAAGATGTCGAAATTGTCATCAGACGGGTCACAATAGGAGAAATTGTCCGAATTATAGGTCTTGATGTGATCAAGCTAGACGTAGGGTCTAGTTCATTTGTCCTCGATTCACGATTTATTTCAAACAATTACATTAGTGACTTTCATTGTATATTTGTGACTTTCAGTGATGAACAATTAAATTCAAGGTTTTAGCCTAACAGTTTTATCATTTATCGCTACATCCCCTTTCCATTGATTTGTTGACATATTTGTTATCCCTTATGCTCGGATGGTGTGTTATATGTGTTAATACTCTTGCATTTGCGTGGTATGGTATTTTGATGTTTTGTGATTAGACATGGAGTTATGGCCGCTTTATAGGGGAGATTTCTTCAAATATTTTTTAAAATTTTTGAAATATGACTACAAATAGATAATTGCAGTATATGAATACATAGAGGGATAACAAATTTGCGAAAAAAAAATAACTGATTGTCATGGAGTTTTTGTCGATTTATAAGGGATATATGGTCAAAATTTTCTCAAAAAAAAAGTCTTGCGACGCGATTTATAGGTCAAAATTGTATACACAAACTATTGGAAAGTACTATACATAACTATTGAATTTAATCGATGCAGATATTCAGTTGGAATTATGGCCGACACTCCTGTCCCTCCCGGCCTACATCCAGGACCATACGTGCACGACATTATATCGGCGGGAACTGCACACCGGGCACATTCGATTTTTTACGGACATATTGATGGCAATCAGTTAGATGTCAGGCGGTGTGACAGAGGATTTTGGGAGCATACGCCTATTCCTGAGTGGGTTTGTCGTTATATTGCCTTGGCTGGATTTGAGGGGGTGCTTGAGAGTGGATATCAGATGGTTGATCATTCTTTGATCATAAGTTTAGTGGAGAGATGGCGGCCCGAAACGCATACATTTCATTTACCGGTTGGAGAGGCCACCGTGACATTACAGGATGTAGAGGTGTTGTGGGGGTTGCACATCGATGGTCCACCGGTTATAGGGATAGACACATACCGCAGCATTCAGGAGTGGGGAGCCATTTGTGAGGAGCTCATTGGATTTTCTCCTGCAGTTGGATACTTTGATGGACAGAGGCTCAAATTGGGATGTTTAGCAAGAGCCCTAGACACAGAGCTGCCATCCGATGCTTCAGATGTCCAATGTAGGCAGCGTGCGCGCATCTACCTCTTACTGATATTAGGTGGACATTTATTGTCCGATAAGTCCGGCAACAAAGTCCCTTTGTTGTATCTTCCATTACTGCGGGACTTGGAAACTGTTGGGCATTATACTTGGGGTAGTGCGTGTTTGGCGACTCTTTATCGGTCACTTTGTGATGCCACGAATCCTGCGAAATCGGCTATTATCGGTCCATTAGTTTTGCTACAGGTACCTTCGATACCCAATAATAATATGTTTTGTGAACATTGCATATTATCATTTTGCAATTTTAACTTTGATTCTAATTTTCTAACAGCTCTGGATTTGGGAACATATTCCAACCATGCGTCCGGACCGAATCGCGCCGTTGGAGCATTACCCTGGTCCATATGGAGCTAGGTGATGTCACGATTCGCCTATACTACCTTTTGTTTTAATGACACTTGTTATGCAAACAACATAAATTTGTTCTAAACAGGTTCCTACTTTATTAAATATAGGTGGAATAATGACTTGGACGTACAAAGAGTTGTTAGGCATGTTGTGCCTGCATTCCGAGATCAGTTGACAGGCCTGCGTCCTGAAGAGGTATTGTACATATGTCTTGACTTTATTAAATATTTCATAAGTTGTGTCAGTCGTCTTGTCATAATAGTGCTTGTCAATTGAAAGCACAAGTTGTATGAGTGCATTTTTGGAATGGAAGTTGACTTTGTTGGCAGGGAGTTAACCTCCAGTTATAGGGGAGACTCTGTCGAATTTTTTTTTGAGAAATTCAAAAATTTGTTAATTGGCCGGAGACTAGCACTTTTTTTCATATGATGTGTCCAATTTGCATATTAGGAAGTTTTATTATTTCCAGATAGAAAAAAATGAAACAAGTAGGATTTGGTATTTTTTTTCAGTTCATATGGCAGCCCTATTCGGAGGTCGTTCTTGCTTCTCTTCCTGCGTATTGTACTGCAGGTCGGGACATTTGGAGGCCCGTAACGTATCTTATTTGCTGGGATGTAGTTGAGCCGCACCTCCTTCATCGGGTTATGCGGCAATTTGAGTTTCATCAGTCACTGCCTGATATGAGGCTGACAGATAATCAGGCTGCTCTACATTCTCTAGATCGTCGTGGTAGGGCGAATCAAGACTGGAGCACCACGCATGGACACTACATTAATATTTGGACTGATCGCCATTTGCATGTACAAGATGGCACTATAATTGAAGATACTACATATCCATCGGAGGAGTGTGTTCAGTGGTATCGGGAGCGGACGGTGATTTATATTTCAAATCCAAGTCGATTTCCCGCTTTCCCAGTGGGCTTTCAGGGGGATAGCGTTAGGGCACAATATCTTGTAAGTTTATTTCCAACCAACAGTTTTAATTTCGTCACTTTTAGTTTGCTCATTTTTTTAACTATTTCTTACCACAGTATCTCCTTCTTATCCCCGATTTGTTTGTTTCTCCAGAGCGATGCCATGTCTCGCATGTATTTCATGGCACATGACTCTCTTGCAGTTAGTGATGAACAACACAGCAGATATTTTCAAGAGTTGGACGACTTTGCATCCACATCTTTGCATCATGTAGGAGAGTCACGCCGACTTGCATTTCGCCCTCCACACGTACCACAGGAAATTTCGCTATATGCTGATCCGTGTCGTGTGCAGCGAGCTCCTAGAAATACCCGCAGAAGTCAGCATGACGGTGGACGACGTCGTAGACTCCGATCACCAGAACCCGCCATACAACCTGAATTCCATGGAGGTTCGATTGCTACTGAGGACCAAGCTGGCGCATCTACTATTCTCACACCTCAGACAGATATCATGCACGAGAAAGGTGTATCGATTGGGTATTCTAGGTCCCATTTGACTTTCCCAAAGTTTACGCCCGATAGGGATTCACATCAGCAGACTTCTCTGCAATGTCAAGGAGGTGAAGGCACAAGCGCTCAAATTCACCAAGCTACACTGTTGACACATATTACTCAAGGCCATACAGTAGTGCCAAACCAACCACGTCGAAGTCGAAGAATACCCAAACCCACAACATGTGGTACTCATGGAAAACTTGGGCAGCATTGATGGCACGCTATTGACTATCGTTATTGTATAAATAACCTAACGTATGGATTACATACTTTTTTGGTGACATTTTGTATATATTCTAAAATTTCACAAAAAACTCATGTTTTAGTACCTTATGTTAATTTGGTGTGCTTTTGTGGGCTGAATAAGCGTTTTAGGTGGGTTGAAATTTTTGTGGTATAGAGTTGGCAATTCGTGGCAAGAATGACCATTTGAGATTAAAAAAGGCGAACTTTGATCAATCCACTTAACCCCTTTGATTTGCGTTAAAGGTGTATTTCATGCATCCAAAAGGGGTAAAATGAATGTTTTTATCATTTTACAAGTACGCACATTGATAAATTTTTCAAACCAATGATCTATGATGCATTTTGAGTGATTGGGGTGCCGATTGGTAATTTTTCAAAGTTCATTTTCTGCAAAAAAAAATTGCAGAACAAAACGCACCAAGCATGAAAACGCTCTAAGTCGTGTTTTCATCAAAACGCGTATCAAATTCTGCAACGACACTGAAGAAAACGCGCTAAGAAACGCGACATCAAGTCGCGTGTCGCGTTTCTCACCTAAATCGCGTTTTAAAGCTTGGATCATATACCAAAACACGCGACTTCAAATACGTGCCTGTAGTCGCGTTTTCAACCACAGTCGCGTTTTCATCCCCGCAAGATTTGGGCAGAAAACGCGACTAATGTAACGCGAGTCGAAGGCGAGTTTTCAGTCGCGTTTTCTGTGTCCATATATAGCTTCCAAAAAACGCGATTTCGGTTCATTTTCTTCTTCCTCTCATGAAATTGCAGACGCGTTTTTCCTCTCCCTTTCTACCCAACTCACAAATCTTCATTTTTACTTCATAATCTTGCTAGAAATCATCAACCCAACACCTTTTGAGCTTCATACACCCTTTTTAACCGATGAAAATCCAACAAAAACACCTAAAATCAGGTTTTTGAGGGATTCAAAGTTAGGGTTCTTAAACTCTAATTTCTTCAATTGGAGGTCAATTGAAGGCATGCTCATAGGGCTTTTAACATTTTTAGCATCAGCAAACTTCCTTCTACGTGACTGAGGTAAGTTTCTTCATCAAATCTTTTGATTTAAGAAAGTCATATTTTTTAGAAAAAGCTATTTGACAACCTTCAAGATTCTAAAATTTGATGATATTTATGACTAATTTTTATTTTATTCATGCATGTTAAGATTGTTTAAGCATGTTTATATGCTTAAATGTAGCAATTTATTGGTTTCGTAGTGATTTAAAATTCACAATTTCTATATTTGGGAGAAATTGAAAAATGGATTTAGGATGTTTTTGAGCTATTGGTTATGATTAATTATGGTTAAGAATGGTTAGTTGATGATATTTTAACATGTGCATTGTGTATAGTGAGTAATTTGGTTGATTCGGTTTCTTAATTGGTTTAATTTTTGCCTAAACATGATCATACCTAAAAGCATATTATTATTGTTAATTCTAAATAGTTATAATCATACCTGTAGCTATTTTGACTAATTGGGTTACAATTATTCCATATCTTGTTTTTATTGGTCATTTTGAGCAATTTTTTGCTGCAATTATGGCTCGTCTTGTTCGGTCCTTTACATTAGGTATTGGACGAATTATCACTTGAAGGGACAAATTGGAGATTATTTGGATCGTTTTAGGATATTCATTGCCAAATTGTGAATTGTGTGAGAATACATGTGGTTAATTGCAACATTTTCTTTTAGGTACTATGCCAAGGGGAAGGCGTGTGATAACTTCATCCTCTAGTAGTGAGGAGAGGGAAGTTAATGAGGAGATGGAGGTGACTGAGGAGGAGAATTCACCTTCTCCTCCACCAGTTAACCGTCGACCTGGTGAGGGCACCTCCCGTGGAGCGGGAAATTCGGTATTTGACAGTGCTAGGTTCAACACTCGCCGGAATCAGGAGTGGCATGAGGCGCGTGCTAATTTGGAGTTTTTGTTCGAGATGCACGTCAGTCCACCAGTTGAGTTGATGTACAACATCTCATATGCTTTTGCTCAGCTAGGATGGGCTCCGATTCTAGTCCTACCAAACTATTACTACCCCGACTTGGTGCGCGAGTTTTATGCCAACATTGAAAGTAAGGCGCGCCATAGTGGAGAACTAGTTGAGTCCTGGGTGCGTGGAAGATGAATCACCTTATCACGTCAAGATTTGGCCGCTATTCTGGGGTGTATGGATGACGGTCGTCCGGTAGATTTGAAGAAGAGGTTTGTTCCCCCGAATAGGAGGTGGGATCCCTCCTTGGCCATGGCTAGGTTTGGTCTTGAGTACCAACCTTTTCGATCTACAAGGAAGGAGACCATAGTGGCGAATGTGTTCGAACCTCGTCATCGTCTTATCATTTATATGATGGCTCACAATGTCATCCCAAAGAAGACGGGGCACACGGAGGTCCGCAAGAGCGATATCTATTTCTTGGATTACATGTTCCATAACCGGACATCTCCATATGCTCGAATTTCATTGCCTAATATCATCATCAACCACATTAGGTCTACGGCGAGGCGTAAGACAACTTCCTTCAAACTATCATTTCCTCGTCTACTGACTTTAATCTTCCGGCGTTTTGAGGTTCAGTTGGAAGGAATGAGGCGGGAGATTGTTCCACCACGGGCTGAGATGACTATCACTACTCTTCACCGCCTTTCTATTGGCAATCCAGGCCCTGTACAGGAGCGGAGACAGAAGGCTAGACATGGTCGGGATGAAGTTGGACCATCTACTGCAGCACCACCTCCTCCTCCACCACAGACTAATTGGCAGCGACTCTTTGACCATATCGAAAACTTTGCATTCCAGTTAGCTGACGTTAGGAATCGTCTAAGCCGAATTGAAGATCATTTGGGCATTCATCCACCACCCAATCGTGATGCAGAGGATGACGATGATGCCGAGGGGGATAACTGACATGGCGCACTGCAGAAGCTATCTTTAGTTGGTGGATTTGCTTGCCTAATTATCTTAACTTGTGGAACTTAAGATGTTTAACTTCATTTTATTTTTTCTGTTTTTTATTTGGTAGGCACTTGTATTTTGGCAGTGGTTCGTGAATAGTGGCTGAAAAGGATCTCAACCATTGACTTGGCGGAAACTTCTTTCTTTTCTTTTCTTCTTTTGTTTCATTTCTTCCCTACACATTGAGGACAATGTGTAATTTAAGTGTGGGGGGAGAAATATGTGTGGTACTTGTGGTTTTAGTTGTGTTTCATATAATTGATGTGCTTAAATTGTATTTCTTGTGGTTGTTGGCAGGGAGTTTTAGTCCACTTTTAAGGGGAGACTCTGTCAAAATTTTTCCAAAACCTTATACATATATATGTTATTAACCATAATAAATAAAAACAATTTTTTCACTTATCCTTTTGAAATAAATATATATAGTTTTGAAACTTCTTTTCTCATTGAATTTGGGAAATGATTTTTATGTGATTATAATTTTTACATCTATAGGAAAGTATATCTAGTAAAGTGGACAAAATTATGCCTACATTTTGCACATTTGATGAAAATTCTTTTTTTTTATCTGATTTTATAAGTTAAGAAATTAATATGGTCAATAAGTGTCATACTTTTCTCATGATTATTCTTAGAGGGAATTTTATTATATATACACCAAAATAAAAAAGGGTTATTCTGCTCCAAATATTTTTGTACTTAGTAACCGGCAGTTTTCATCTACAAATGTCGACTTTCGCGTAAAACGATACTTAAATTAAAAGTATAAAAAGCAACTTCAGTATGTGAAATGTTGAGTAATCGGTGATTTTCATCTAAAAATATCTACATTCGCATCAATTGTAAAAGGTAAAACACGCAGGATTTACCAAGCTAGATATTTGATTTTATTTTTTTTCTTTTCCTTTTCAACTACCAAACAAATAACATGCACTTCATAAAAATAACTTATATACTTTTTTTAAATAGCATTGCGTTATGGAATTTCTAAAATTACAATAAAAAAATTGTAACAGATATTAATGACTATTAATTATTACATTCTTATAACTAATATTCATCGGTGTCAACAAATAAATACGATTTATTAATAACAAAGGAAAATTAGAATTTGATAAATAAATTTATTTCATAAATTTAGGATCAAAAGTTAGTATTTTATTCATAAAATATAGTCAACACCTTACATGTTAATAATTTCATTCTATTTTTACATTGATCTATGAAATAGAAAGAACTATGCATGTGTTCTTTTTCCACCCTTTAAATGTATTATAATAAAATAACGTATTTCCAACCGTAAAATTATCAATTTTTTTTAATATAAAAGAAATATGCATGTATAGTAAATTATATTAAACAGATTGTTGTGAATATGATTTTTCTTTACAGCACATATTTGATGAAGATTAGGCACGTGCAAGTTTGAAAATAAAAAAATTTTATTCCTCTGCTAATTACAGATTTTTAAATAAAATTTCTCTACATTTCTCCAAAATATAAGATTTTAGTTGAGATTTTAAAATAAGATTTTACTACCGAGAGCATTTTAGTAAAGGCAAATTCTACAAAACAAACAACATTTACATTTAATTGTACATTTTTTTTTGAGCTAGTAAATTTCATTTTAAATTTTTTTTTTCTACCAAGTTTGAATTTATTTTTATGAAAGTCATGCTTATAAATGCGAAATCTAACACAAAAATTAAATACAATTTTTGGAGGTCAAACTTATCAAATGCGAGCTATTTGAAAAATTTTTTAAAAAAATATTTAGGACCTCGCACTTACCTCTTACTATTTTCTTGAAAAAATTCTCTAGCTCCCAAAAAAAACAAAATATTTAATTATACTTAGTGTCTTTGAGCTCGCGAATCGCCCTTAAGTTGAGTTAAGCTCGCATTTCGCGAATGCGAGCTCAGCAGACCTAAGTAAATTTTTTTTAGGGAATGCCAACGCGAATGCGAAATCTTTAAACATTTTGTTTTAATACAAAAATATAAATCTCTGCCTCCGAAAAAAATTAAGCAAAAAAGGGGTGGATCTCTGTTGAGAAGAGCTCGCATTTCACGAATGCGAGCTCAGGAGAGCTCGCATTAGAGCTCGCATTCGTGAAATGCGAAGACCCCCCAACGGAATCCCTCGCCACAATCACCCCTTTTATAGAATTTTTTTTAAAATCATCACAAAATTAGAAATTTCTCATATTTGCACGAGGGATGTTTTAACACCTTTGTCAAAACTGGGAAACTGAAGCTGAAGTAACGAGATAACCAACCAGTTAACCAGATACCTCAGTCTGAGAGTTGTTCTGTTAAGACCTAACATGTTAACATGGTCAAGATGGCGGCAGAAAATCTCAGGCTCCCTTCCATTCCATTGCTCATCACCATATTCACCGTCATGGATGGATTCAGCATCAACCAAACTGTTCACAGAAGGTTCCCCTGGTTCAAAAGAGGACTTTGGATTTACAATCTGGCTATCATCCAAGCTAAACGATACCCTACAGCCCATGCCAGCAACTCTGTCACCATCTTCCAGTCCGAAAAATCTGCCTCCAGTGTATCCATTCCTTTCTCTCCTCCCCAAGACCCTAAATTCACCCTCTGTCTCTCTTCTTATGGCACTTTCTTTTCTTTCTGGGCAAAGCTCAGATGTGGACAAAATCTCAAGTTTGCTATGCCGTAAGCCTGAATTTCTGTGCTTTGCCCCAAATCCATTTGAAGTACAGCTCCATCTAGAACATGCTATCCTCGATTCCAGAGAACTTTCATTTTCTTCCTGAATCTCTCTGATATTTGTGCCATTAGCATAGTTTCCAAGCTTTTTCAAATTTGGCTCTGTTTCTGAAAGGGATTCTTCTTCAGGGATTCCCATAACATGGTCCAGGTCCTGTGATACCGGCTTCACAGCAGCATCAAAAGATAAGACATGATCTTCGGGCTTTCTGAAACTTAACCTCTTGTCATCATGTATTGGACTCTCCGTATATTTAGACGTAACCTTCAGAGAAAGTTGCTCATTGTTTCTCCTGGCAGGAAACAATGAGGGCCGCAGAGGTGAGTCTGATTTCTGTTTGGTTAATTGACTAGATTTGTCAGACCCAATTGGACTTTGACCTAAATCAATCCAATACGAGTTCTCAGATGACTCGTCTTCACTGAAAATTGGACTCCTCATAACTTCCCCAACTGAAATGATATCGGCTTCCTCAAATGCTGTGCTTGCCCCATCCCTGTCTGAACTGTTATCTTAATCAATCTCTGTCTCAAAAACATCCCTGACCTGTGAGGCCGTATAAACACCAGAAAATGCTGGCAATTGCGGCCCTCCAGGCTTTTCTGGTTCAGTGTTTTCATTTTTGTCATCTGCCTTTTCTTCCACGCCCATTAATCCATCAAAGCCATCCAGAGAGTCACCAAGGTACTGAGGAAAATCAGGGACAATTCTCACAATCCCAGACCCCGTACGACCAGTTTGGTTTTGAAGGGTTGCCATCACAGATTTTTTTATCAAAAGGCATCCAAACCCTGTTGGATCATAACCAAATACCTTGTAGAATGATGTAATAATGAAATCTGGCCGGAAAAGGGACAAACCAAGTGAATCCATATCTTTAGGACCTAGTGAACCAGCATCCAGCCATACATGCCAGTTGTTTTGCTGTGCCATTGCCATCCACTGGTATGTATACTTGGAACCTGTAACTCTTGACTGAACAGGGAAAACAAAAAGCCCCACTGCAGAATCTTTCCTCCTTTTCTTCTTGTTTGAAATTTGTTTTCTCAACTCTCTAGAGCAGAGTTTCAAGGATGGCCATTTAAACCAGGCCCTGTACACCTTTGCACCCTTCTCTTTAGCACATTGAGCCATCCAACTCAGACTGGCTCTCATGGTCAAACATAGTCAACAGCCTCTTGTTCGAATGGAAAGGATATGATTCAGCCAGCAATTTAAATGCAGATCCTCGACTAACAGTAAAAAGAAGTACAAACTCATTCTCAGGAATGTTCAAGTAATCCATAATTTTGGTTTTAATATCATGCTCCACAGTACCGTCCTCTGCACCCCCATGAAGTGCATGATTGCTCAAATTTGCAGTAATTTCCTTTAAGCTAAATGCAGATGAATCCCAATACTGTAGCGTTTGAAAATAAGAAAACAACCCGTAACCACAGTAATCAAGGCATACCTTTGCACCTGGATCACATAGGTGACTGTACTCATCTGATCTCAATTGGTCAATTCTTTCTGAACATTGGAACTTTGGGTACAAAGTCAAGAACTTATCGAAGGCTTCATTAAAGTCAGGAATGGATTCTTCAGTGCAAAATGTCCTATCAGCCAAAAGAGCAGATGCCCTCAAGAATTCCTTCTGGGCATTAAGCCTTGCAAGAGATCTTGACCTTCCCAAGTAGCCATCTTGATTCAAAGACTCAGAATCAATTTCATGTGATTTTGCCAATGACCCATCTTCAGAAGCCTCCTCAAGAGCCTCCCTTAGTTTGTTCTCCGGCAAATTCTTGAGAGTTGATGGCTTTGCCTTACCCCACTCCTCCTCCTCCTCCACCCAAGAACCTTTTCCTCTCCTGCTCTTCTTGTCCATCATCAACGCTGCACAGAATGATATAGGTTTCCATAGTGAAAGATGCATTAACACGAATCTTTCTTGGTTTCTCCAAAACCAATCTGACGACTTTCCACAACGCAGAACAAATTCAAGAAATGAAAATGTTTTTCTTTTTTTTTCAATATCAGTAATTTATTCTTTGGCCGAAATTCTGCTCTGGAAACCTGAAATATTCAAGAACAAGAATAGAATAATCTATATGAGTTTAGACTTGGTCTAAAAGAGGAGAAAGGGCAAAAGAAAAGAAAGGCAAAGAGAAGAAGCATGTTTTTGGGATCAAACCTTTTTAACTGCATTAAAGGAAGGAAAAACCCTAGCTTTGGCATCCTCCAACAAGAGCAGTTTTGTGTTCAAAATATTCAACACCTACCCATTTTTAAGCATTAGTAGTAGTTCAACAACAGAAACCACGTGCTAACCCCACCAAAGATTCCATGCCCAGATTGAAAGCCATCCCAATTGAATTACCCAGCTAAATCATTGTTTGTAACTGCTACGTATGCCCAACTCAGAAATGTAAAAGAAACAAAAGGACCAAAAAGCAAGCGCTGCCCAGAGACAAAAATGGACTTCCAACTGAAGAGGTGGACAAAAACAAAAACTAGTAAAATCTATGGGAGGGAGCAATAGCAGTTAGAACAACCACTGTAATCCCTAGTTATTGCTAGTAAGAAGGTGCTAATAAAGCAAAACTACCACTACAAGTAGGAGTAGATCAATTCCCACCAACTTCTTTCCTCCCTGTCCCTCTCAGTCGTTGGAAGAGCTTGGCCGCATAGCCTGTAAGAGCAGTGGTAGAAACCGTGAAGGAGGCTCGCGAAAGGGAATCCCCATTTGCATTAAATTCCTCATTACTGCACTGGTCTATTCATACGTGTCTGCGTTGAATGCTTCTTCGTCCCCATTTTTGCTTTGTTTTTCTTTTTTCCTTTTGGTGAATTATGGCTGATCCATACATTACTTTGGTTGAACAAATTTTAGGAGGAGAGGGGCAAAGAAAGTTACTTGGTAGTTTTAAGCCCATTTTGAACTCGTTTTTCCCCCTTTTTGCCAGTTTTTTTTTTTTTCTTTTCGTGAAGTATGGCTGATACATTTATCTTGGTGAAACAAGTAAATTTTAGGAGAAGAGTAGTAACAAAAGTTAAGATTTAGTCTTAAGTAAGAGTAAATTTTTACTAGTTTAAAGACCATGTGTAAAATTTCAAATTAAAATAAAATATTGATATTATATCGCATGCATCTAAAAATGTTGGTGTGTGTATTCAGAAGATGTGATATCCATTATATATATTAATGTAAACTAACACATTATTTCACTTAAAAATAAATTTCAGGAGAAGAGTATTAATAAAAGCTAGTAGTTAATTTTGAAAGATTAATTTTTGATCGTTTGTAGATTATATATAAAATTTCGAACTCAAATCCAAATTGATATATATTGAAATGATGTGGCATCTGCTCGTACACGTTAGTGTATAAATTAGAATTAATAATTATTAGTGTAACAAAGGTTAATCCTAGTTTTAATTCCTCTTTTGGACGAAAAATTTTGTGCTCATTTTTACTCGTTGCCTTGTTACATTTGGGCAGAGAGGCAAAAACATGGGAATACTTACTGGCAGTCTGGTACAGTTCCGGTACAGCCCGGTGGGGACATAGATTATAGAAGCTGCACCACTAGCAAATGGACAAAGCAGCAAAACTGGGTCCCAGAATCCTTGAGGTCAAATTTTTCTGGTTTTACTTTTGCAGGATAGTTTTACAATTTCTTGACGCTGATGGGTCAGGCAGATTTTGCATTTTGGACTCTGGTGCGCAAATGGCGCCTCGCTTCAATTTTATCTTTAGTTTTCAAGACTTCCGGTTACGTGAGCAAAATGAATTACAAAACCCTTTTGACTTCAGACTTTTCTTAATCTTATCCTTCTTAGTAGGTTGGCCTTGAATTTCTAACACTCCATATCTATATCTATATGTATTGCAGAAGGGATTTTTAGCATAAATCTCTTAATGGCTTCCAAACTTCCCATTCTTTTTTTCTAGATTTTTGTATTTATTTTAATACATAAAAAGTAATGGGTTATAACCAACCCTATCACCAATCAAATTTAAAATTTAAAATATTTCCACTATCTACTTCATGTTACCACTTATAGTTTGTTATTTATACTTTAAATCCTTTTTACTTCTTAATTAAAGACAAATGTTCATTTGTATGTTATTTTAATACAATGTTAAATTTTTATAATTAAGAAATATTTGTCACCACACTAACCCTATAAACCACCCCTACAAATGAGCTTTGCAAATTACAATCACGTTTCAAAAAAATCACAAATGCACAACTAAATGTAAAGTTGAGGTGGTAAAGTGCAGATAAATGTAAAATTAAGGGACTTACTATATTTAACCCTAAAAAAAATCCCAAGAAGATTTTTGTATTTATTTTAATACATAAAAAGTAGTGGGTTATAACCAACCCTATCACTAGTCAAATTTAAAATTTAAAACTTTTCCCTAATCTATTTCATAAACCGTTTATAATTTGTTGTTTATACTTTTAATCCTTTTTACTCCTTAATTAAAGACAAATGCTCATTCACATGCTATTTTAATACAATTTTAATTCGGAAGCATACAACGTGATCAAGAAATAGCAGAACCAATTAGGACTAGATTTTGACCCAACAAAAAAATTAGGCCTAGATGCCACTGGTATGTTGCTGTAACTTGCGATGCCAATTAGGACTATTTAGCACTTTTTTCTTTTGCAAGGAGTTAGGACACTGTAAAGCTTATTTAGGCAAAATTTGGCTCATCAGTGATTTGAGTATCAAGTTATTGAATATACTACAAATCCTATAATATCAGTCTGCTACAAAAAATAATATTTTACTAGCATGTGGTATTTACGTACAAAATTTTAGAGGTAAATCAAATGCTTTTACTTATATTCTATATAATTTAAATAGTTGTTTAGCGAATATAAACATACTGTGCTGGACCATCACTTTGTACAATTGGAGTTAGCAAATTGTATATCAATCACAATTTGGATTTTGCTCGATACCTGCGCAGTTGGTGAGTTCCATCATTAACACTACATCACACTTTTAATGTTGTTTCATACTCTTATCAACATGTGTTTAAAATTGAAAATGATACATGTGCTCGAAAGTTAGTTACGTGGTTAAGGTAAGCAATTTTACAACATCACAAGCATTGTTGATAGCAAATTCAAAGAGAATATGGATATCCGAATATACAATTATGCATACGATAAACTTACTCTATTTAATTTAATTATTGCACAAATTTTTTAAATTTATAATCATAACCTATACATTCTTTCATTCTTATTAGGTTAAATATTTTCGAATACTTGCTTACATTCAGAGCATTAACATAGAAAAAATGTTCTATGAGTTATGCAAAAATTGTGGACAACTATGTGAAGGTCGTTTTTCAAAAACAGTGTGTATGCATTGTAATGACGTGTAATTTCATGTACCTTTAATTTCAACAAATTTTTCTGTATTGTATATAACATTTTATTTGTTAAACAGGTACAATGTTAACATACAAATCAAAGATTCCAGTGATAACATGCATCTTAATCTACATGACAAGCATGCACGATTCGTATTTAGTTGTAATGCTTCTTATCTCAGAGAATTACAAAGAAATGTAGAATTTCTTGATACATGTTTATTTTTTATAATGCTATTTATAAACTATGTAAAAAAAATACACTAATTTTGAATTTCGCATGTACTTAATTCTCAGGACAATGGTGATAGGTTGTTCAACCAACGAATCAATTCATGCAAAGATTGTGCATTTTCATTTGTAGTACGCATTGCACAAAATTCAACGGAATAAATTAAATCACCAATTTTGGCTTTCGTATTAAAAGTTGATTGATGTGAAGAGTGTTCGCACCTTCATACAAGATTATCAAATAGAATGCATAATATTTGTAAGTATTTCATTTTAACAACATTTAATTACATTCATTTTTATTCATATATCATTCATTTTCTAATAAAAATTTTTATTATTTTTTCAGGATTTATCTTCTGAAAAAAGGTAATTTTTGAATAATATACACATTCTATCATATTTCAAACTATTGTTAGATAGATATTATATTTTAATTGTGTTGGTACAATTTTTTAACCTTTTTTAATTCACCCTTTTATTTTCATTTTTTTAATAATATTAGCATCGTGCGTAGCACGGGTATTCATACTAGTATATAATGTATCTTCAAGGAAATAAAAAAATCCATTGATTTGACCCTTAGTAAATCCGATGATTGTTGTTTGACACGACTATATATTCATATGTCACTCTTAGAGATGCAAACGAATAGAGTCGAGTCGAACTTTGGTCTAATCAAATTGATCCTCCAGTTAATTTTATGAAAATCAAACTCATGATTCCATGTTTGCAGCCCTAGTCACGTTTGGATAGATTCCATGTTTAAAGATCTAGTAGCTCAAATCGTACTACACCATCTCGTTAAAATGATGTGGCAAAATCTAATCAATTGAATTTTTTAAAAATCATGCCTATCCAAATTTTGATCCATATTCACAAGAGTATCATCACAAGTTAAAAGCGTGGTTCGCATAGGATTAATGAAAATCACCATAAACCGCCTATTATACAGGTGCAATATTTCAAGCTTTTATCTTTATTTAAAAGCAAGAGGGAAAAAAACAGTTGATTTGAGATAAAGCAGTAGCAGTAAAGAAAAAGGAAGCAGAGGGGACGATTATAAGTGAAGTGACGGAGAGTGGAAATGGCAGACGAGTGCGGTGGCCTCGTGCATGTCTGCCTCCACAGAGCTGTGTCGCCAATATTTATACAAAGCGGATCAAGTCAACCCTACCACGTACTTCTTTTGAATACTTTTGCTCTGTTTGGATGTAGGAGTTTTTCAAAAAATAGTTTTTTAAATACTATAAAACTTTTTTGTAAATATTTTTTAAAATATATTTTGAGGTACCTTTTAAAACCAAAATATTTTTAGGATATTTTCTAAAAATTAATACTTCCACCCACAAATACAACCACCACCTCCTCCCTCCAACTCCCCCTCTCTCTTTCTCCTCCCTCTTCCCCTTTCTTCTTCCTCCACCCATCCCTTTCCCCTCCACCTCCAACCCTTCTCTCTCCCCCTCGATGCACGACCAAATCAAGAAGGGAAGGGAAGAGTTTGGGTGGGAGATAGGAGGAGGAAGAAAGGGGAGAGAGAGGAGGAGGAAGAGAAAGGGAGGAATAGGAAGAGGAAGAGGGAAAAAGGAGGGGGTGGTGGTGATAGATAGAAAATGTTGTAGAATTTTTTATATATATTTGTCAGTTGTTTTTGATATATTGTATGGATGAAATATTTTTTGAGTTATTTTTATTTGTGTATTATAACTCCATTCAAATTAGTTATTTTTGGGGGTGTTTTAATTTGTATGGAAGTATTCTAGCTAGGACTGTCAATGGGGCTGGGCCAGCCCGAGCTTGGCTCGTTCGGCCCGACAGAAAGCCCGATGAACCCGATCATTTAGTGAGCCGGTCTGAGTTTGAGCCTAAAAATTAGGCCCAAATTAAATGTGAGCTGAGCTTAGGCCTTATTAGGTTCAAACCCGATATAGGCCCGGCCTTTTAATTACCT